TTTACAAGGATGAAATATAATTAATATATCTTTCGGTGTGAAAACCGTTGGAAGGACAAAGAAACCTTTGGCTGGCCCAAAAGATGAATGCTCTTCAGTTTCAGTTTTTCATAATAGCTTTTTCGAAAGCTTCTGCAGCTCCAATCTTCTACCAAACTGTGTATATAGTGCATTGCTATTTTATGACATGAAGTGGGAAGAAGCTTAGACGTACATAATAATTGGATAAAGGCTTTGTAAACTACAAATCTGGCGTGGCGCCTCCATAATTGTTCATATCAGAGCGATGTCTTATGTGGATTCACTGTTATGGATACCTGGGTGAAGGTTGCCCTTTCACGATGCATCAATGATATTGAAGAATGAAAACACTCTATTATTTCGGAAGTAGATCTTTGCTTCGTTGGGTTGAAGTTGACCTGTTTTGCATTTGTCCCAAATACCTGGAATAAATGTTCATGTCATTTCATATTAAACTGAGTTTTTGTTGTGTTTATGTTTAACAACTGACTGGGTTGGTTCTGGGCAGTCCATATGGGTACCGGTAAGTGTGCATTGTTGAGACTTAGGGTTAAAATAGGTCCCCAACAGGTGACTGGAATTGACCAAGTTAAGTGCATGTCGTTAACTTGATTACATGGAAACTGTCCCACTTCTATTGTTCAGATTTACAGTTGGTTCTGGGAAGTCCATATATAGGTGCCGAACAGAACATGCATTTTGTTGTAGACTTAGGGTTAAATATAGGTCCCCTAACAGGTGACTGAATTGACTAGGATTAAGTGCATATGGATTGAAACGATTACATGGAAACTGTCCCACTCTATTGTTCAGATTGGTTGGTTCTGGGCTGATCCATATGTGGTACCCAGTAGTGTGTGTAGTGCATTGAACTTAGGTTCCCGTAGGTCCCACAACAGGTATTCTAAATTGACCAGAGATTAAGTGCATGGACGTTAACTTGATTACACATGTGGAAACTGTCCCACTCTATTGTTCGATTGGTTGGTTTAGGCAGTCCATATGGGTACCGGTAGTGTGCATTGTTGTGAGACTTACAGGGTTATAATAGGTCACAACAGGTGATAGGAGAATTGACCAAGTTAGAATAATAATGGGTTAACTTGATTCCGGAAACTGTCCCTCTACTGTGTTCAGATTGTGGTTGGTTCTGGGGCAGTCCATATATATATATATAGGTACCGGTAGTGTGCATTGTTGAGACTTAGGGTTACAATAGGTCCCCAACAGGTGACGAATTGACCCAAGTGGCTTGATTACTATTAGGTAATCCCCACTCTATTGTTGGTTGGTTCTGAGTCCATATATGGGTGTACGGTGTTATTGTTAGCGAGACTTAGGGTTATAACAACTAGGTCCCCAACGGGTGACTAGAGGTGACTATTAAGTTATATGGACAACGATTACACGTAAACTGTCCCCTCTATTGTTCAGATTAGTTTGGTTCCTATGGGCGGTCACTATATATGGTGGGTATGATAGTGTGCATTGATTGCTTGGGGCTGCAAGATTTTAATAGGTCCCAACAGGCGTTAGCCAAGTTAAGTGCGTAGTTAACTTGATTACATGTAAACTGTCCCCACTCTGTTCAGACTGGATTTGGTTGGAGCCAGTCCATGAATTTGTTAGTGTGCATTGTTCTGTTAGGGTTAAAATATAGGTGACTAAATTGATAAGTGCATGTGTCGTTAACGATTACTGGAAGCCTTGTGTGTCCCTCGGTGTCTCTCCCATTTGTGAGAACTTTCCCAGTTGTGAGACACATTAATTAATAGTTCAGTGATGCACATAGGTGTTTCCACATCCCTACAATGAAGGTAGGACCAGCCCGGTTGAAGAAATTACAGGAGTCATTGATGAGTAGTGTGTGAAATGGAATTATCAGGTTCTATTTTTGAAGAAATAGTTCATTAAATATTTTATTCGAAGAATATGTAATTACATTTGTGTGTGTATTATGAAGTTTGAGAAGTCTCTTTTTTAAACTATATCTTGCCTTGGTTTGGTGGAAATCTGAAGTAAGTAAGTGTTCTCTTTCAAATGATCACGAAGTTACACACACACAAGGGTTCTATTTTAAATTTACCTGAGAATGTAATCAATTTGTATCTTATAAAGTTTCATAAGACTTCCACAAGATTCAGTTGGAAATCAGAAATTAGCTTGGAGTTAATCCCATTCTCAGACGGGGGTATGGTGTGTTTTCTTTGTTAATTACCTGTCTCCCACACTGTGTCTCATAACAAGTCCTGATTGGGAGTTCTCTACAAATGAAGTAGACGTCCACTCTATTGTTCAGATTGGATGGGGTATGGGATAGCCTAGTGGTTAAAGCATTCACACTTGTTATGGGAGGAGCCGGAGTTCGATTTCCCACATGGATTTAATGTGTGAATCCCAGTTCTGATGCCCCACCACCACCATGATATTGCTGGAATATTGCTAAAGTGGAGTAAAACCATGCTGCTCACCGTTGGATATGGTTTATGGGCCACTGAAACAGATGCAACTATCATTCTGCAGGCTTCAATGCACACACATGCATCTACGGTTTCTCCTTCAATGACTGTAGCTATTCCCTGTGTGGCCCATTGGGGAGAAGTTGACAGGCTGTTGTTGTCTCTAAACGGTGTGTGGAATCGGTGCTGGTTGCAGGCTCAGGAGGTTATAGTGCAGAATCTTCTAGCCTTTACCAAATTCAGAAATAATAATCATCTGACTATGCCACTGGAAGTAAATAAAGCTCTTCACGTAGTAATTTTTGTTACTATGGAGCTGCCACACACACCCTTCATGAAAAAGGTCATCATATCGATGCTCATTGATGTTGATCGCTAGTTGTCTGGTCTGTGTCAGACCACCGTCACCATATGAACTGACTGACTACAGGTTATAGGTTTGTATGCCGCTTTTAAATATTCCAACATCACGGTGGGGACACACCAGAAATGGAGCTTCACACACATTGTACCCAGCAGAGGGATTCGAACCTGGTCTTCCGCGTGGCGCCGTCACCATATATAGCTTCTGGAATGTTGGTGAGTGCGGTGAAACAAGTAGCACCTCAACAAGACGTTATTATCATGGGTTGTAGCCTTCGGTCCTTGAAGCGTTGAACCCTGTGTGGTTAAAGCGTTGTCAAGCAGCAGGTTTATTTCCCTCATGGGTTCAATGTGAAGCCAATTCTAGTCCCCATATTGTTGTGAATTTTGCCAGAGCGGTGAATATTACCAAACCCTCACACCCAGTTCTAATAAATCCTTGGGGTCCCTCGGTGAATTGGATTACCTAGTATCATTGTCCTCTTCTGTGATTTTAATTAATAACACAGATATTCTGTTGCACGATGGCTGCAGTTTTGCTAACTTGTTGACCAAGTCGATGTCCATTCCATATATTGAATATTATCGCGCCAGTCCTTGAACATAAATGTGACCGGAAGCTTTTGTCCAGAACCGGTTCTTGCCACATGGAGTTACACAATATGGAGTGGAGCCCATTTCTATTGTCTCCCTGCAGTTACGTTTGTGGGAATATTAGTAAAGCGGCTACCGTGAAAGATCCGGGTTAGAAATCTGGTCTTCTTGGCAATAACTGCTCGTAGAGAGGCGACCTTAACGAGATCGGGTGGTTGTGGCCTCGCTGACACATATCGTCCTATCCCAAGTAGCTCTATGGGTGATGATGTTCATGATGTTGATCACTGGATTGTCTGATCCAGACTCCGATCATTGACAGACGAAACACATTAAAGCAACCAACTAATCCTAGAAAGGCGCGCATGGGGCGGTGGGGTAGCCTGGTGTGGTTAGGCGTTGGCTCTCGTCGTCACGCCAGCTACCGAGGGCGGTGATGAGGAGGTAGCCTGGTGGTTAAGCGTTGTCGTCGCCGAAGGCGGTGAAACCTTCTAGTGGTCACAGCTCGTCACGCCGAAGGGGCAGTGGGAGGTGGTAGCCTGAGTGGTTAAAGCATTGTCGTCACGCCGAAGGGGCGGTGGGAGAGTGTGGTTACCTGCAAGCGTTGGCTCGTCACGCCGAGACCGGATTCGAATCACATGGGTACGCGCTGTATGAAGCCCATTTCTGGTGTCCCCACCGTGATAGTTTGTAATATTGCGCTACGAAGCGGCGTAAAACCAATCTCAGTCAGTCAGTAAAACAGCATAAAACCATACTAACTCACCTCATCAAACAAAACAACATGGGTTTTAGCATGTTTTAATATCAATCAACAGGCTATATTACAGTATGCAAACCGTAAACTGCTTCATTATGTTAATGAAGGCCATACTACAGTCCATCCCGCTCCCTGATTCAAGGTAGCTAGTCTCTATGGATGATCTGGGTGTGTATATCTATGAAGTGGGCATTAATTGTCGGTGGGTGTGCTGCAATTCCAATACATATGTCACTTTGAGTCCCGGAATCCCAAAATCAAATGTAAGAATGACTGACTTGTAACACAGCCGCCCTGAAACTGTAAAAAGTAAGCCCCAATCATTTCTTGATTCTGTATCACGTCTGGCATCCATTTGACAACAAAAATATACAAACAAGGTCCATGGCCAAAATTGGAAGATATTTAATCTATGCCATTCAGCATTTACTGAGGACAAGAATGTCACCGAGGTCAAAGGTAAAGATTCTTATGTAAAATGTTGAGTGTATGAATGAAGTCAGATTTAGACACTGAACTAACTGGACAATAAAGCCTCTGGAACTGACTTCAAACTTCTTTCAAAGGCTATATTACTAAATAGAGGTATAAAAAATACTATATATGGGTAAATGAAGCTATGATGTAGTGTGAAATATGGAATGGAGTGTTTCGATCCTCATTCGCCGGTTGACCCACGCCTGAATTCTCTACAGTGCCGTTCTTGGTGATGATGTGTAAATGGCGACAGCATTGCTCCTCGAATTCTCTCTGCTCTTCCGCATCTCTCAGAAGAGCATAACGGAGGTCTAGTCCTTTCTAGCCTTCGTTTTCGTCCAGGGACTTTACATGGATGGACCGCTGAAATGCTTTACTAAATCGATCTGGAAATAATTTGGACAAGGTGATATGTGTGTATTGGAAGGTAACGCAATGCCCATATAAGAGTTGATTCAGTAAAATAATTGAAGGCGTTGCAGAAGGGTAGTCTAGTGGATTACCGTTAAAGCGTTAGCTCTCACGCACGCCGGCCGAGGTTCGAATCCCCACATGTGGGTACAATGGTGAAGCCATTTCTGGTGTCCCCCGCCGTGATATTGCTGGAATAGCGGCGTAAAACCAAACTCGATCGTCGGTCAGACTAAACAAGTTTCCATGATGGCTTGCCATCCAACAGAATCATGGCCTCTTGTTCTACGACGAATCAAAGACACATGTGGTCTCTGGAAGGGCGAATTATATAATGCAAACATTCTCTGGAGCATTTAACTGTAACATGATTGCGTGGTGGGAGTTGCGACCAGATGAATCGCAATGGTATGGCAATGTTAAATCCACAAAAATAGTTTGAGTAAAGTGCACATACAGTCACTTTCATTTATAAATACACTTAGATAGGAAAACGCTTCTCAATTAATATACACGTAAAACACAACTATTGTTGACCGCTTTTGACTGCTTGTCATGCGTTATGTTGAAGTTACGCTTTTCTGTAAGGTACAGAACACAATGACGTCAATACCATCTACCCTCCGCCACCAGTAGCGCTTCCAAAGCAATTGTCGAACAACTGATAGTCTAGATCTGCTTTCCTTGCCCTCTCTTATCCGGTTTTACTGAAGAACTTTGTGGTCACCCTTAAGTTTATCCATGATGGCGTTCTAATTGATATTTGAATTGCCTCGAATTTGAAGGGGAATTCCACCTACCTACTAGATGCGTTAATGCCTTAGCAATAACTACAAATAAATACCACATTTTTATTGTGTATTACTTGGGCTCACACCTTTCTGGCAACAGCCTGCATGTTGGAGGACGATCTCCTGCAGCGAAGCCTCTCTCTTGAATCCCTGGCTATTGATCAAACACGTACAGACATCCATAGCATCTAACCTGGGTACACTGTCATGGGTATGTGTTGTGTGTGTTTAATACTTGTTGTTTTATTGAAATGAACATACACAGAAAAGCCAGTCCCACAAATTATCTTAAAATAAGGGGCAGACCTTGATCTGTCTACTATGAAACTGCGATAATAATGACTTGCCAAGGGCTGTGTTTATTAATTTGTTTCAGGGCCTGTATGGAAGACTAAACGGGTGCGATTGTGGCAAAGCCTTGTCTCTCTCTCATCAAACCTGTATGAGTCCGGGTTTTACTCTCTATGGTTTCCTTGCCGTTCGATGAATCACTCCCAACTGCGATAATATATGCACCACTCAACAGCATTATTTCGGATCTGACGCCACAACGAGCTTTTAATCAACAACCAATCAAACGTATTCACAACTGAACACGCAAGTCCGGCGGCTTAAATCACACATTAAAAACCGGGTTCCTCTGTGGGGTTAAGCTGTTGTTGTTCGAATCGGAAGATTGTTCAAGCTGAACTTTTGGCAGGAAGATGTTTTCACAAGAGGAGGAGCGATGCATTACGTTCTTATACAAAAAAGTTAATAGTCGCCCACTGTACTGGGATTTCCTTACCTTTGAAACAATAATTTCGTAATTTTTTCTTTGTGTACGCATGGATTGTCAATCGAATTCCTGACAGGAAATGAAAGCGACAGAACCCTTTCTGTGATCATTATACGATTGAAACTGTATCTTAAAGGTATCTATCATTAAAGAAATATGATTCCCCACGCATATAATCGCATGTAATGTGTGTGTGTCACCGTTTTGTGCTTAAGACAGTAACTACTGTGAAGGTCTACGGGACCATTTCGTTAAAACTCTTTAAAACGCACGAAGTTTTAATGTGGATGTTGCGAAGTTTTATGTGTTTTTCGCCTGAGAAATGTAGCATTCTTTCGAAGGTTAATCTAAACGGCCTCCAAAGTTTATTAATTCTGCAAGAAGAGTCACAAAGTATGTTTGAAGCAAATACCTATGTTTCAAAATGTAATGTTATTATCCGTTATTGTGTTTTCAACGTATGATATTGAAGTGTATAAAAGTGTTTAGGAGTTTAAGAGTTGCTGCGATGTATTGTCAACGTAGTTGCTGAAGTTTAAAATCTTGAGAACATTGAGAACTGACTTCTTCCTGTTCGCCCGTCGTTATTTTGCGCCTACATGGTGTGGCACGCACCGTGTTGGTCTACTCCTGGGATGTTGCATAATTACGTGTAAGATTCGCCGGTTGTACAGCAAGGCCTTGACGATACCCGCCGTTAGACGCGCCCACGACATCTCTGCTTCTTCAGCGTCGCCTCACACTCCTGCAACATCGTCAACATGAGTGCCACATCATTCACAAGTTCAGATCACGTATTCCTAATTAACACCAGGGCGTGATTACGGCGTGACATCAACAACGTCAAAAACATAATGCTGGGTTTCATTTCTAACACCGTAGTTTACTGTAAAAGCGTTTTTTCAAATAACAAGCATTTCTCATCATGAATATTGGTCAATAATTAGAACAGGCTTGTTTACAATTGGCTATTCCAGCTCCTTGCGGGATATCTCAGCCCGTGGCCGTGTTAGTGCCAGAGAGAGAGGTAATGTTGGCACTTCGATCTCGGTTTCGTCATACCAGGACGATTGGTAGATTCAGTACTTGTTGTTTCCTGCTTCCCATGGGAATACCTATTCAGTTGGTTTGTTGACCAACGCCGCACTCCAGCAATATTCCAGCAATATGGCGGTCTGTAAAATAATCGAGGTCTGAACCGAACAGTCGGTGATCAGTCCTGCAGCTTCGCCCATCACGCGAACCCGGGTTCGATTCCCCGTAAATTTTCGGACCCACTGCTGTCTACGCCGCGATATTTAAATGTTGTTGTTAAAGAAGCGCGTCGGCGTAAAACTCGATTCACTCTCTCACACGCAGATCTCGTGGTAACACTCACATGATGTTTCTATCGGTTAAGCTACCTACCATCCAATCTTATCAGCAGTCTTGTTGAAGTAGAGGACGTCATTACGCATGGAAACCGTGAAGACATAGGATTGTATTATCGTTCTGCAAATAGAATAATAAATAGATTTGGATTGGTAAATGGGGTTATAAACAAACTTAGTTGAGACATCAGTTAGGCTATAAACATTATCAGGGCTTGGCTCGTCAAACTTGAGAATGGTTCATTTACCTCGCGCTATTAGCATATGTGTGGAACGCACTTCTGGTGGCCATCATCGCTTAGTCCTGAATGCGGCGGGGCATATTCAGATTCACAAGTGATGATATCATGAAGAAAATCAATGGCAGTTGGCCCAGCCTGGCAGACTGGTTGGTTTATGGTGGGTTGCGGTTGCGCTACGAAGCGTAAACGTGCTTTAAATGGGTCTGCGTGTCGGTATTGCATCAACTGTCGTTTACGACAACAAATATGGCCACTTAGTGTTGATCCCCAGATAGATGAAAAGGTAACTATCAATTCCTGCTAAGGAGGTAATGTTGATGCCCCAGATATATAGATGAAAAGGTAACTATCAATTCCTCTATACTAAAAGATGTTGTGTGTCTGTCTCCTTTATGTCCCGCAGACTGGTAAATATGTTTATTCCTTTCAACAATAATGCACTGCAGCAACATCGCAATGATGTACCAAACTGTACCAGTGTCAGAGTTAGAGTACGCAGTCTTGTGTAACGACACTTTCTCAGCGATATACAGAATGATTCTAGTACTCGAACACTCACTCCAGAGACTTATTTGCCAGCATACAAAGTCCTATTAATCCACTCTGTAGTTTCCACTTCGACTTATGGAACACTGGAGACGGTGGAATTAGCCTAGTAGTAGTTAAACCCTTCATCTCTCGTCACGCGCCGAAAGGTCGGGTTCGATTCCCCAAATATAGGTAAATGCGTGAAATAGCCATTTTGGTGTCCCCATATTGCTGGAATATTGCTAAAGCTGACGTCGCTCACTCACTCTCACTGAAAGAGTGAAAGAGCTGCTGTGTGGCTAAGCTAGCTACCTTGCCCATGTGTGTGCTGACATTTGACCACTTTCTTAATGACTCCTGTGTATTTGGCTTGATGGTCTAATACAAACAGACCGCCTCCGTGGTGTGATGGTTAAATCCTTGATTTGCGGGTTCAATCCCGACCCTCTGTCTCTGGAGCGTTAAAATGTATGGTACTTGTTGGTCATGTCTGACGCTCGGTATTAATGGAATTTTTAATATAGCAAGGACTATTGGTTGGCTCGAGTCGGTGTTATAATGTGTCTCTGAGTGGGGTATTCTCGCTGTGTGCTTCTCGGCATGTAGTCTCGGTGAGCTAGCATATAAACCAGCTTAAGTCTGGGCGCTGGTACAAACATACGCACGTGTCTACACACGCATCCCACGTCGTCATGATATATTCCTCAAGCACGACGTTAAACCCATTTTCCTCACCTCTCACACCTCAATTACAGTCGTATAGCATATCCAAATATGTAAAACCCATTCTATTGACAAATATGTTTGTCATTGTAGAAGAACGTGGTAATTCACACCGTTTTGTTACGCGTGTGGCGACGCGGTAACTGTGAATTCCCCAGCATCCCGTCATGGAGATTATAACTGTTTGTATACACCAGGTGTCCGAGCAATCAAACTGTCTGATGAACACACCATTTTACAGACACGTGGCCTTAACGAAGTGAAAGTAATACTTGTGACGGTGATGAGATGGATGTCCCAGACAATAAGCCCCCTCTCTCCACACTCAACATTCGACAGCGTTGACCCGTTATTTATGTATACAATTTCTCTGTGGCCATAATGGACGATACAACTGCAGGCAATAATAACAAACCTTACAGACCTTCTTATTGGGCTTCAATGTATGTTGTTTAACGCCGTACTCATCATTCACTCGAATATACAATCGATGATTAATAATATCATGAACGCGATAAAGGCGTTGTGGACCACGATGACATGTTCAGATCCCGTCGCCACTTTCAGCTGCAGATCCAGTTAGCTCTCTCTCTCAGGTCTTGGGGTCTCTCGTGATGGGGTAGTGGTGGCGAGGTTGGGTAATCGAATACCCACCGATTCTGAAATGGTTTCTGCCGCTATATGGTATTACTATAGAGCGGTGTTAGCTGTAATATGTTCACAGTCACTAGTACTGCAGTAAACTACGTTTATGACTTTGCTCAACCACCGCGCCGACTGACTGACTGAATTTGGTTTACGCCGCTTTTAGCAATATTCCAGCAATATCGTGGGGACGCAGAAATGGGCTACACATATGTGAAGTCTAACGGGTCTTCGGCGTAAGTGAGCGCTTTAATAGGCCCATCGCCCCTACTGTATATCATGTCGATAAGAACATGATCGGTCTGAACAGTCAAACCAATTCTTTCTTTCCCTATTCGCCTCGAATGGCTGCAAGAAGGTACTCATGCGGCGTGAAGCAATTCGCTCTGCTCTTCTGTATCAGCATGTAAACGTATTACAGTTTGTGGTGACGTCACGGCACTGGCCTATCCCGCAATCGCAAGTGGTACACGCCTCCGGCTTATTGTAACGCGCGCACGTATCTGCGAGGGAGGACAATTCATTTAAAGATGAATCGAAAATAATATTTAAAAGCGTTTCATCCAACAGGTTGGTATCTTGCATACCTGCGTACGTGATGATGGTTAAACAACGTCATATGCGAATGTTGTTGTGTGTGTGTTTGTTTAACGCCGAATACTCAGCAATATTCCGGCGCTATGGATCTGTAAATATGTTCTAGTCGGACCAGAAATCCAGTATCAACAACATGAACATCGATCACCTTGCGCAACAGGATACAATGATGGCGGATCCAGAATTATGAAGTGGGGGTCTCAGGGGTTCAACACCCCCACCCTGAAGAGCTTAAGACCACATTGAAAAATGTAATTTTTGCGTTGGCGCGAATGAAGGGTTCAGGGGTTTAACCACCTCCCCTCTCAAAATTATAACGGATTCCTTTACGAATGAAATGTCAGCAAATGTCCGCGAGCTCACCGATCTTATGGGTTGCTGAATACCGGATATCTGGATCTCTCACAGCGGGTCCCTATGTTTATGAACATGTTTATTATTTTACGTACTGAACGTTGTATGTACAGTGTACTGCACATGGGGCATCTAAGAGGAAATAACACAACAATTGCCCGGAGTTGAAGGACAGCTCAAGTTAAGCTGCCGTGTTGCCTGAAAGGTATTTAGACGTTACAATATAACAGACATACTGTGAATTAGCGCTTCATTTGTTTTTCAGATACCGAAGAAACTGTACCTTGGTACTATTGAATGACATGTGGAAATTTGATCGCCATTCTCTGTTTTCTACCGGTGAGTGAAGGAAATTTCGAAAAGCCAATATCCAAGACACCAGAAAGAGGTGTTCACACATCCTGCCCATGTGAAGTGACCTTCGGTGTAGCGATAGCGAACAACCACGGGGCCTGCACATTGTTTCAGGGTCTGCCATTTTGACAGACAATATTAATACACTGATATCTGGAACACAGGACAATCGGAAGAGTAAAGACGAATGATTTCCAAATGTAACCTGTTCCAAGAATTGTATCGAGATCACTCATGTTGACATAATGTGTGTGTATTGTGCAGGCGGGGTAGCCCGGGTTCGCAGGTTCGAATCAAAGATATAGATTGCTTATATATAACCAGCGTTAGGGCTGCCAATGATAACCGGTTTACCGGTATTTACACCGGTTTCAGACATGAAAACGATACGCATTATGTTTGTGATCGAAAACGATATTTTGACATGCATCGAAACTTAGTAACACTCGAAAATCTTGGGATATTTCCGTTTTTATTGTTAATTGCCCTGTTCCTGGTGACATTTGTTGCCTTACATTATTTTGTTTATTTTGTCATGATTAAAGTTTCCTATTACAAATGACCTAATCAAGCATGAGTGATTTTGTGTGTTCGTTTTGTACCGATAAAGCGATAACTTGATTATAAATGGTTTTTGTTAAAAAATAATCCTTGCAATATATTGCAATACATATCGCAATATATAGCGCGGCATCGTACTATATTACAATATGAAAATTCTCTGCAATACCCACCTAACCAGCGTAATATGTTGGAGTCTGCTGAAGGCAGCCTAGAGATAACCACTCAGTATAATGTCAGGAGAAAATGCAATCATTAACAACTGGTACTCCACTCATGCATGCAAAAGTAAATGTCATTATGAACATCTCTAATCTCTCAGGGCTAATATTCCCCGGGGCAGCGTCGTGATGACCTGATGATTGATTGC